AACAGGGAGATATAAACATTCTAAATTTGTATACACTGAATAATATAGCCTCAAATTTTATAAAGCAAAAATTATCATATCTTTAAGGAAAAATAAACTTGCAATTATACTTAAAGATTTTAACATACCTTTTTCAACCAGTGATAGAAGCAGAAAAAAATCAGTAGTGATACAGAATATTTAAATGAAATTATTAATGTACTTGTCCTAATTAACAAACATAGAAGCAACCAATCACAAAGAACACATTCTTTTTAAATACGTACAGCATATTTTCAAAAATGCACCATATGCTCAGCTATAAAGAATTGAAATCATATTGTATGGTCTCTGACCACTGTGGAATTAAGCTAGAAATTCATACAAAAAGGATAATTGGTATGATCCCCACTTCTTTGGAAATTATGAAATACACTTCTAAGTAATGATAAGGGAAGTTGCTGCAAGAGGTAGCAGGTTCTTTTCTTTTCCCAATGTTTAGTGTACAAGGGAGCCCTGTGTCTACAGACATTCCCAAGACGTATTTGCCGAGAAGGGGGAAATGAGAGAAAACGTGACTAGTCCAGAGTAAGCTGAAGAAGCAAAATTGAAGGCAAATTATCTTTATCTGGGATGAAAACTTGGGAGTTCAAATTTCTTGAGGGGAAAAAAAAAATCTGGGGATTACAACAAGGTAAAAGCAAAAATGAAGATCAAGCAACTTCCTATCGTGCCTCAGATGAGAGAGAGGTCACTAGTGATCACATTCTTGCTCAACGGGACCTTCCAAATGGAGACCATTCCTGTGGCTAGCAAACTGGCTGGCTAAATAAAGACCTCAATGTGAATCTGTCATTTTACTATTTCTCTTTATATTTCAGCTCTTTGTCTCCTTCCATGTATTAAGTCATTAAGCCTGACAGCTTTGAGGGTGGCAGTGGTTTGTGCTGCCTATTGAAGGGGTATAGTCTTAAAAGTTGAATGTGTATGATTTTTGGATTAGTTGATCGGATAGTGCACTGATAGAAAGGATGCACTAGAGCAATATAAAGTAATGTACTGAAAATAAATGTATATATTTCCTATCTTGTGGTGTAGAACTAATCTTAGAAAAAAATAAACAAATTTTATGATTTTGATGTTTTGGCTTTCCTCACTTGATTATACACTTTTAATGTTTTTCTTATTTCATATAACCTCTATTGTGTTACTTTCTTCTGTGTTTTTCTTTTTGGATTTTGTAAAACAGAAGTTTAAGATCACAAATTGGTAGACAGATCACATATTTCAAACAGATAAATAAGGAAGTGGGGTTGTAGAAAATTTTTCTCTCTATAGTTGAACTTCATTTGTCCTAGACCTGTTTCTTTTTTATTTGTTTGTTTGTTTGTTTTTAGGGATGAGATCTCGCTCTGTTGCCCAGGCTGGGGTTCAGTGGTGCAATCACAGCTCACTGCAGTCTCAAACTCTTGGGCTCAAGCTATCCTCCTACCTTAAGCCTCCTGAGTAGCTGGAACTACAGGCACACCTCACCACACTGGATAATGTTTTTTAAAATTTTTTGTAGAGATGAGGTATCACTATGTTGCCCAGCGCAGGTCTCGAATTGCTGGGCTGAAGGGATCCTTCTGTGTTAGCCTCCCAAAGTGCTGGGATTAAAGGCGTTAGCTACTGCGCCTGGCCTCATTTTTAACAATCAAATTTTTCTTGGGCTATTTGCCCAGTCCGGTGGAACCTTGTGTGACCCTAGTACTTACTTAAGAACTGTCCATTATATCTAGTGTTTTTCAGTACTATAGTGTTAGAATGTCTTTTTCTTGTTTTTGTTGAAGATATAAATGAAGTGTGTGTGTGCATAGACTGTTGAATTCACTTTCGTGCCATGTTTGTAAATATAATCATTTGTACAACTTTTTGCTAATGTCTGAATTAATTTCACACATTAGAAAGCACAAAGGCAACGTGCCAAGTTGAAGCCCAAGAATTTCCGCAAAAAATTCTGTGTGGAAGTTAGAGTTATGTGAGAAGCTTTGCATTGTAAGAGTGCTTTATAGTCTTGGGCATATGGAATACTAAATTAGAATCTTTATTCAGTCTGCCCTAGGTAAGTGCTTTCTTTTGTGACTAATATCTGTGACATTCAGGGGCCTTGTGCAAATATGATACGTTGCTCAAGGATCTGTTTTGTCTTAGACATAACATTCATTCAGAATTTTATGAAATTGCAAGTCATATAATTTAGAAACTTTTTTAAATGTAGAAAATTTTTACGTCCACAGTCAATTTCAGGGATTTTAGAATAAAATTCTATGGGTTTCCATGCCCACC